CTTAATTTAAAAGTAATATCCTGTCAGTCATTTAAAAGAACATTGACAACCCTTTATATCCATATCTTTATTTGAACAATTTTCTATAATAGCTAAGAGAATACAGCATTAATGACACACATTTACTAAGTACAACATGAGACATCTACGAATTTAGAGCATGAATGTCATTCTGAAATTGTTTTGGTTTTCATTTAAGTTTAGTTGATATCTAGTGAAAATCTATGTTTCAACAGCTTTTGTCGATATGAAGTGAATTATTAACTTTCATATTTTTTAGCTTCATGTGAGATATGCTGCAATGGGTTTGGTTTAAAATGAGAGTTTGGTTGATAATGGTTTCCACTTCTCAGAATTCTGCTTTTTTAAATGCATGAACACCTCCTAAGAACTTTTCACAGATTAACTATGCCGTATTTTTTTCTAGGCAGATCAAAGTAAATTTCCCTCTCCAGATTCAACAGGGTAAATACTTTAAAAAACTGTAATATTTAACTACATTATAGTTAAAAGGCATATCCACTTCACAGCAAAATAATCTTAAGTACATAAATGTTAAATGCCAAGATCTTATTTCTCTGTGACATCGTTAGAACAATTTAACGTAAGAAATCAATGTTAATCCAGGATACCACAAAAAAATACATAACAATCATTAATTACAACATATAAATCCACATTTAAAGAGGGAAAAATCACCATTTTTTTGTGGGGGAGTTAAATGAATTAAGTTATTTTTAAAGCCAGAAATGTAGGCTAAGAATTTGATAATACATAGTTCTATTACAATATTTGAAACTACTGCCTTTAAAAAATGCATTAAAATGTACCAACCTATATGAAGCATTGCTTTACATATACCAGTTTCAACTCAAAAAACATTTTTCTTTCAAATCATTCAAGCAATATTATAATACTAAGGGAATGTTAATCATTTAAAAATATTTTATTAATCTACTAATATCATTAAATTAAGCTAATGAACATTATAACAAAATCAAATTACAAAACAAAATTAAAAATACATTTTGGCATATATTTTACATAGTATTTTTCAGTTCCTGATCTATGGAGAAAATTCTGGGTTGATTTAAGGTAACAGAAGGGATTAGAATTCACAGCACATTTTCCTGTTGAATTTCTCCTTTTTTTTTGTACAAGGTTCTTATAATTTCTTTTGAAAAGAATGCCCATGAAAGGTTTAGAGAACTGTACCCTTAATTAAAAGCAGATGAGTGGAAAACAAAGACATTTAAGTATCACAAGTCTAATTTATCTCTATATTTCTTCCATATGTTTATTTGCTTATTTGTGATACAGAGTTCCCACTAATTTACAAACACCCTAGGCTGGCATTTCATTGGCTCTGAGATTGTTGCTGCCCCATAATGCTGGTCCCTGTTTGGAAAGAACAGAAAGCAAAGGAAGTAGAATGTTGAAGGAGGGAGAGGGCCATGCAAAGAGGCAAGAAAGGAATTAGTGGTTAGAGATTCCACGCATTAAACACCCTCACAACACCATTAGAAACAGCACAAGATAACCTCTTCAGGCAAGATATCCTTTACAAAAGAAAAGTTCCAGAGAATTTAAGGCAGCTCTAGAAGGGAAGGGAACAGGGGTTAAGGCGGCCCTCACAGCACTGCCTGGGCACAATAGACAGTGCACTTATCCATGAACATTGACCACAGCATGACACAGAGCCTCCCTAATACGCATGCACACAGCACATCTTCTAGCTCAAAGCAAACACCTGCAGGCATGCACACACTGTCATGACCAGTCCCATATGGACATGGATCTGTCTTGCCCAGTGGATGGCCCTCTGGGGTATCCAGCAACCTGGGCTGCCCTGTGATGAGCCTGAGCATCCTAGGGGTCTGGTTCACAGCTGCAGGTTCCCTGCAGGCTGCACCGTTCTCCTGGCAGTTCTAACTGGGACTCTGGGAGAGTGCAGATGAGAAACCTTCCTTTTAAATGTAAGGAGGCTTTCAAGGTTTCAGGTCTCTTTGGGTGAGACTGCTTGGTACCTAATTCTCTAAACATGACACCTTCTAGGGGTCAAACCTCATTACAACAGGTCACTGTGACAAGAAAAGCACCTGGCTCTGGGCTCTTCACCCATTCGAATAAATACTACAGCACTTGGCACTTGTTCTGCCCCAAATAAAAGCTACCAACTTCACAGAAAAAGCAAAACAAAGCAACAGGACCCACTTTTGACCCTGCAGTACTCCACTGGTACCAGGAACAATGGAATGCCACCTCAGGGCAGCCGCTTTTTAGTCCCTGCCCACACTATCCCTGTGGCCTCTGGGGAAATAGGAACCGCTCGAGGCTACTGACCTCAGGTAAGGGGCTGATGTTGCTCTGTCTCCCAAAACCATCAGCAGAGGATGTAGTCCTACCCTACCTTCCGCTGTGAGGATACAATGAGGTAACACAGAAAGAGCACTGAAGTAAAGCGTATCTGGACACAAGGTACTGTTTCTATACAACTTTCAAGAGAAGAACTGAAGGGTCACTCACTTTTTGCTTTCTGTTTTATCCTAAACAGCTGAAGTTACGTAGAGGATCTTGGATTATGTCTCCTGGACAGGGATGACTGGGGGTTGTCTTCAGGGAGAAGGGAGGTTGTCTGAGTGAGAGTGGGAGAGGAAGGGAGGACACTGGAGACTGACCTGGAACTGTGAAGACTTCTCAGGGTGGTGGCAGATGCCTCTTTCCTGAGTGTGAGCAGGAAAAAGTTGTTTCTCACAAGTCACTACACTGAAATTCTAACAATAGGAAACATTTTCGGAGCCTTCCCTCTTGTGTTATTAAAGATTGGTTCTGTATTACATAAAACTACTTACCAAGCAAGGAGGATGAACTCTCAATTATCCATTGAATGAAAAGATTAACAAAGCAAATCATTCAAACGCATCCCAATCCCCTACCATCTATCAATCAGTCGGCTTGGCTTTAGAATTCAGTTTTGTACTTTTGCACTTGATGAAAAAGTGTAAAGTACACAGGGAATTTTCAAAATTTCCAACAAAATCTTGAGGTCATAATATGGAGTTTTACACCACATCCACCTCCTTCTCTCTTAGGCCTGTCAAATGCCTCACCTCGGAGTTTCCCCCTTTGCCTTCCCAGATATGAGGAAAGGGGAAGAAGGTGATTAGGGAGAGGCTCTTGAAGCAAAGAACTGTTATGAGTTTCAAGATCTTTCTTTAAATCCTTCTGTGTCTCAGAGAAATTGTGAAAAAGTGAAGCAATGATAACATTAGTGTTTTGCAGAGAGCCCAGAGAAGCAAGGGCTTCTGCAATGATTGGGTTGCGGGAATGCCAGCAGGCAGGCCAGTATGGTCCTGGGAACTGACAGCATCCTTCCACCATCACTGTACAGGAGCAGAGGACACAGCAGGTAAGGAGTTTTAGGATTCATCTGAGGAAAGAGGAAGCATGAATGCAGAAGAGCTAGACAGCTACTAGAGTCATGTCTGTAGTTAAGTAAGAAAACATAGATGGACAGAAGGAAGGGCGAGCAATCCTCAAACGGACTAAAGGACACCCACAGTGAACAGAATGTTCTTGCATCCTCAAGAAGGTAGTACACACAATCCTGCGGTTCCATAGTTCCAAACTTCAAAGTTAAGACTAAACACCTTTAGGCTACCAAGAAATGAGTTAATCTGGGGTACTGGCTAGGAGCTGGAGGAAGCTTGAACCCTGAATGCAGAACCTTTGTTTCGTTGGCAGCAGGCAGTGTGGAGAGAACAGGGCTCTTGTACTCCACAGCAGAGGGACAGGAAGGAGAGAGAGAAGGCCCTGACAGAGCGGCTTCACGGGGTAAGCCATCTGGGAGGGGCAGGAAGGTTGCAATAAGACCAGACAAGATTCAGTGTTTGTGGCTCATACCACACAGGACTAACATGGGGAGGAGTGTGGAGGGTCTCCACGTCTGAAGTGAGCAGCCTACAACACGGGTGCATTTTTTTAGCAATTCCTCCACCCAAACCTCACCTTTGTGTTAGACTCTGCCACATTCACTACTTACCAAATAGTTAGAAAGAGTTTATAGTTTTGTTTTTTAAAACTATACTGGCACACAGGGAAAAGCGAGAGAAACTGAATTAGTAGTGTTTTGGGTTGATTTTGCAAATAAATAAACATACACAAACAGAATATAGTACATGACTCAGTAAAATGGAGCTAACTTTTAAATAATACAAATAGAGTGAGACTCCTTGAAGGCATGTACATAAAACATGTACATTTAAGAAAGGTTATGGCTATAAGGAATTTTACATTTTATTATTAATCCCTCAGAAAGAACAGACGCCAAACACTGGTTCACCCAGCAGAGGGCAAACTTATTCTCTAATAGTAACATGTTTCTCTAGGTTCCAAATACAGAGAGGAAAGAATTGTAAAAGTGCAAGGGACCTCGTGGATCAGTTTTCTAACCCTTTTATCTTATAGGTGAGGACACTGAGGCTCAAGTAAGGTAAATACAGTGTTTACATTTTTATACTCTATCACGGATTTGAAAATGTTTGATTTCCATTAATATTGCACACATTGTAATACGCCATTTTTAATATTTTTAACAGTTAAATTACACAAATCTATGATTGCTATTCAGAACCGGAGTTTCTAATGAAAGCTAAGGACTTGCTTATGCACAATTTAATGATTTACTGTATTAGATTATATGAAAAATGGAGAATATGTTTAATTAGAAATTAGAGTAAAAACTTGACTGAATCTGGGTCTTATTGATCTAAATCCTCTAGAAAATTCAACAATCTACATTTCTTGTATGAGTCTCCTTAAAATATTTCTAACAGGATGCTTTTTAAAGTACCTATTGGCATCTGAGAATATTTATAGGCTAAAAAAACAGAATCATAATTAAATCTTTATCGTACACTTACTTTTGCATAATTTATAAGATAATCAAGATTTTAAGACCTGAAGCATGAGTATTCTGACAGTCCTTTATAGAATTGTCTGAAAATAATTCTTAATAAATTAAGAAGAAGCAAAACCCGTTAAGGTTGAAAATATGCAGTGCAGGAATCAAATCTGGTCACTGAAAATAAATCACTTCACAGAACACTGTACCCTGATGCGGTGTCTACCAGGGAAAGTGTAATGCACAAACCCACATAATACACACTGAATAAATAATGACATTAACAACAGCCACTTTGTCTAATCCTATCCCTAAATGTCAACTGCCCTGTCATATCAGTACTTAACTTCCCAGTGTTTGCTGCTTCGGCTAAGTCACCAGTTTCCTCCACAGGTGAATTTGTAGCTATATTTGTAGCTATACTTTCCAGTTAAAGCCGTGAACTGATTGAATTGTAAACAGCGTTGATAAAAGAAACACTTATTGTTGTAGTGCCTAATAAGAGTATCACTTCTATTTTAAAGAACACAGCATGTAGCAGCAGTTAAAAATGCAGTACAAACAAATGAACATCTATGCTATACAGCAAACCAACAGCTCTTTTAGTATCTCTACACAAGAGTGACACAAAGAAGGAAGTTACTTGACCAATTACTTTATATATAGTCAGTTTATTTCTTCATTCCAGTTTGACAGCATCAACATAACTGATTCCTAAATTGCTATGTGCCCAGTGGGGATTTTTCTTTCAGTTCTTCTGTTTAGCTCAAAGGAGGTTCTCTTTGCTGGTTCCCAACAATGGCTCACACAGGTGGGCTTTATGGGTTTTATGCCATTTAAGTGCAGTACTAAAGGTTGAACATAAATGCTGGCAACTGAAGACACATTTTCCTTCCTCTCTCACTCCTCTCCTGCTTCCTCACTCTTGCTTCTTTTTCCTTCCTTCCAATGTTACTGGAATTTAAACTTGGGAAACCTAGCTAACTAGTCAAGGATGAGTGCTTCTATAAAAGGCAACACAGCACAAGAAGCCTACCTATCTTTCTTTTTGAGGTGATAAAAATATTCTAGGGGAGACTTCCAGTTAATAAACCTTGTTGGGAGTGAACCAGAACTTCATCTTTAAAAATGTGTGATCAGTAGCTCACTGGTGAGAATGCATTTGTATTTCAGGCAAGAAATGTATTGTCTGTGTCTGTCTTGACATTCATTTCAGACTCGTGAAATGAATCCCAGGCCGAGGCTGGCAGGAATCTGGATGGTTTCTAGCGCGAGGGAAGACGGGTTAAATGGAAAGGTGACAGGAAAGATGTGTTTAGCATCCATGAGCAGCTGAGGAGAGTCTTTCCTGTCCCGTAAACGCAGCTGAGAAGATTAAAAAAGGAAAGAGAAAGTCAAACAACTCATCAATTTTTTGCATCTATAAAGACTTCCCACCCTGAATTCTACCAAACCCCCCAAGTAGTGAAAAATATCCTTGTTTTCAAATCACTCCATTTCCTCCAATAAATTATTACTAAAAAGTTAGTTATTACTAAAAACACCACACTAAAACAATAAACTTGAAGCTCAACCTCATTACCATCAAGTCAGGGCCATACTGGCTCTGGCTCCGACAGCTGGGCCATTGCTGATGCTCCAGCAAGTTTTCAGAGGATACAAATCACACAGCAGGAGGCTGCCCATGGTTCTCCCATGGAGCCACTGGTGGATTTGAACCTCCAGAGAGGCCCCACCTTTGGGTTTGCAGTTCATCTCTTTACCCACTCAGTCACCAGCATTAACGGATTACAAAAATAAGAGAAAATGATACAATAAAAAATAAAAATGTATTACCCTTCAATAAACTGTATTTTTTTATTTTAAAGAATATAATAATTATAATAATAATAATAATCAAAGGGGTGAGGGGAAAGCCTTGAGAAATCCTATCTGATTGATCAAACAATCAAAACCACTGCCATCAAGTTAATGATGACTCATAGAGACCCTCGGGGCAGACGGGAACTGTCTCACAGGGCTCGGAGGCTTTAAATCTTTACAGGTGACTGCTGAACCTTTTTCTCACAGAACAGCTAGTGGGTATAACTCGCCAACCTATTGGTTAGCAGCCCAATACTTAACTCACCGTGCCACCAGGGCCCCTCTTACCTGTATAGTACGAATAAATGATACAGAGACTCTTTCTTCAAACTCATTAACTGGAGTATACAAAAACAGCACTTTGACAATCTGTAAGAAAGGAGATGATTATGGGTTTTACTAGAATATGAAACATACATTGCACACTTAAAATCTAGAATAGTAAAGGGACACATTCATCAGCTCTACTCAGGGATACAGTTGGACAACAGGAGAGAGGGAGCTGGTCTGGAGGACATATGCACTTTTATGATTTTAATTTTTATAAGAATGTATTAATGTCCTATTTGTATCATTTTAAAAGGTGATTTTAAAGATCATTTTGTTGTTGTTGGTTACTGTTGAGCTGGAACCAATCTATAGCTGACCCTCCATCAGGTTTTCAGAGGCAGTTAATTGCATGGGAGCAGCCTGGCCATCCTTCTGCAAAGCAGCTAGTGGATTTGAACCATATGCCTTTGGGATTGCAGTGCAGCTTCTTCCCACTAGGCTACCAGAGCTCTCTCAAGATCACGTTATAGGTATGGAAAAATACTCAGATTGTACAAAAGAATACCCATGAAAAACAAAAGTGTCTCCTCTCCATCTTCCCATCAACTATATGGCTAAATGAAAACTTTTAAAGAAGTAAAAAGTCAGTTGGACAGTTTTGCTCTAGAGGCAAAGAATAAAAACTAAAGAGATGCTAATTAGAGAAATCCCATCTGTGTGGGATTCCTGAATCAGGAGTCACCCCTCAGGGGCAAAGTATTATCCTTAACCACTGGGTCACCATACCATCACCACCACTCCCCACCCCCTGAAGAAGTAAGACCACTCTGTTGGAGAAAACGTACTAAATAAGTTATAGCCTATCACACTATATACACTATGGGTTACAAATACGTAAAGATATTAGGGTATAAAAGTGAGAATGCAGAAAATGTTGATAAAGTCAGGTTTTCCCCTTTATATTCTAAGTTGGCAGAAATGGGAGTGCGAAATTCAGGACCATTATGTAGTAACAAAATTCTCTTAATTATATAACTGTGAGTTCAACATTAAGAAACTGCAACTCTGAATTATCTACTCATTGGGCTCTGATTGCAATACTGGGTACAATTCTGTGTTATAAGATATGGGACAAATACTAAGAGAACAAGACTCAGCAGAGAAAATAAACGGGCAAAAGAAAATAGGCATGCTCATGTTTGCCTTGCTTCCTGTTGCCAATTGTCTTCCAAGGCCAATCCCTTCCTCAAATACCAGACATCCTTCAAGGTTCAGATTAAGAGATTTTTTTCTGAACCAAGTCAGTGATCACATCTCAGAACTCTTAGTATATACACCTTAGCAGAGCCTCTTGTAAAAGAGTCAACAATATATGCCTCTGTCTTTCCTACAGGACAGCAAGCTCCTTAAAAATAGACTGTTCTTTACACGGAAGTATCTCAATGAGCAACAAGTCCAGTGCCTTGAGGTAATATGCACCGATTAATTAGTTGTTGTATTGAAGGGAACATGATTGTAAATGAAACTCCATTTTTTATACTTCTGGAATGTTGTGAGGAGAGCAGTTGTTGGAGAAGGATATTATGCTTGTAAAGGGCAAAGGGTCAGTGCAGGAGAGGAAGGCCATGGATGGGAAAACTGACAGTGACTGTGGTAATGGAGGCAGGTGTGTCAGAGATGGTGATGTTGACTCAAAATAAAGCAACGTTAAGAGCTATTGTTCATAGGGTCACTATGAGTCATAGTTGACTCAATGGCATATTAACAATGACAATATACACTCTAAAGAGTATATACCTAATGAAAGCAGGAATTTTACTTTGAATGTTACTAAGTCCCTGGAGCATTATTGAATAATGTATGCATTTGATAAATATTTAATGAATATGGCACCAGCAGACAGGAAATCAAATTAGGAATTGCATCAGGTAAATCTGCTGTCAGGAAACTTTCCAGAGTACCTCAGAACTCAGAAGCAATGATGTCAGTCTAGAGACTAAGGTGTGCCTGATTCAGGCCATGGTCTTTGCAATTATTTGCTATGCATCAAAGAGCTGGACAATGACTAAGGATGACAGAAGAAGAATTGATGTGTTTGAGTTGTGGTGCTGGAGAAGAGTCTTAAACATGTCATGGACTTCTAAGAAAACAAATAAATCTGTCTCAGAGAGTGTGAAACTAAGTTTCTCCTGACAGGCTAGGATTTTGAAGCTCTGTCTCACATATTTTGGACATGTGGTCAGGAGGGACCAGCCACTGGAGAAGACATCATTCTTCGGAGGGTGGAGGGACAGCGCAGGAGAGGAAGACCCTGGACAAGATGGATTGATATGGTAACTAGGGTAATGGGGGTAGGTTTGTCGGAGTCAGTGAGACTGGCTCAGGACAGGACAGGACACGCTTCAGAGCTATTATACATAGGGACATTATGAGTCGCAGGGTACTCAATGGCACATAACAACAATAACAACATATGAATGACTATGATTAAAAGTGCAATGCATGATTTTCTGGCGAAATATCCATTCTTCAAAATTTAAAGAGATATATATTTTCTGTGACACAGAAGAAGTCTTAGAGATGACAGCAGTAACTACATCACCTTATTACTAAAAGGCACATTGCTATGGGAAAGTAGGCTGTTAGGGACCTCTCCAAAGTACTGAAGGGCAATGGTGTCTCTCTGGAGACTAAGGTGCATCTGATACAGGCCATTATCTTCTCAGTCACTTGTTATGCATCAGAGAGTTGGACAATGACCAAGGAGGATAGAAGGAGAATTGATGCCTTTGAGCTGTGGTGCTGGAGAAGAGTATTGAGAATACCATGGACTACTAGGAAAACAAACAGATTTGTCCTGGAAAGGGTTAAACCGGGTGGCTCCTTGGAGGCAAGGATTCTGAGGCTCCATCTAACATACTTTGGACATGTTGTGAAGAGAGACCGGTCCTTGGAGAAGGACATCATGCTTGGGAGGGTGAAGGGACAGCGCAGGAGGGGAAGGCCCTCTATGAGGTGGATTGATTCAGTGACTGGGATAATCGGGATGGGAGTGTAAGAGACAGTGCGATTGGCACAGGACAGAGCAGAGTTTAGGGCTGTTGTACATAGGGTCGCCTATGAGTCGCAAGTGACTCAACGGCACATAACAACAACAAGAAGACTCATCTCTTATAGATGCTGAATTATTTCATAACAGGCAAGGTTGCTTTACCTGGGCAGTAGTTAAAGCATTGCACATGGAACAAATGGCTTCTGCATCTTCATCTGTTTTCTTCTTGACTTGCAAAAGCTGAGCAGCTTGAATAAGGGGTTCCAGGGTTTCTTTAGCCCCGCTGTTCATCAGATTCTTGTCACGTAGCCACTCTTCAAGTTGACTGACATTGTACCTGTGTCAAACAGAAAGTGAGAGAGAGACAATGGAAATTTGCTAAATGTTGTCATGAATGTCTTAATTTTTGAGGTGTGGCCTTGTCAAGATTTTATGTTAAAATGACAGGCAGCATTTGTGTTCAATTTTCTTAAATTTCATAGCTGTGCTTAAAAATCTTGCCATTATAAATAGTTATGAGGCTCAGAATAATAATTATATAAGACTAAATGACTAAAGAATATCTTTTAACTGAAGGTAGTCACTATGCAAAAGTTATGAAATAATATTTGTTAATAAACAAAACTTGGAGAAACGAAGATAGTTATAGAAAGGCATCAGGTCTTCTGTTCATAGAATCTCCACGAGTCATGCTCGACTCGACGGCAATCAGCAACAACAATAAACAGAACACATAATGAATAACACGGACCAAACACCACTTCATAGCTTCTCTTACAACTTCAGAATGCGTTCCTTTTGAGAGGTGAGAATTGGTAATAATTTAAGTACTTTCTCTTCTTTAAGGCAAACTCAAAATTGGTTAATTGGAACACCAGCTCCCCCCTCATCTAACCTGTGTACTCTAGGCAGTGGCGATGGTGGCCTCAGGCCTAGAAGGAGAGAAGGGCAAGTGTGAGCCACTGGAAGAGACAAAGACTCCAAGTGTGGAGAGTGACAAACTACCCAGACTGAGTTTTTCAGAGCAGGCCAGTTAAAAGACAGTGGATTTCAAACTAAGGTAAATGAACACACCATCAGAACTTAGTAACTGGGCAAATAAGAGGCATTCTGAATTCACAGTAGATCACTTGATATTTCTAAGTAAAATGTATGCTGTCTATATACGTTTTATACTGTTAAGTTAGAAACAACTCATAGCTGACCCTCTAGCAGATTTTCAGAGGCTATAAATGGTATGGGAAAAGACTGGCCATCTTTCTCCCTTGGAGCAGCTGGTGGATTTGAACAGTGTGTCTTTGGGTTGGCAACACAACTCCTTACCAATAAGCCACCAGAGCTCCTAGAATAGGTTACAGAGAAATAAAATCTACGTTTCAGGCGGAAGGCATTCTGTTATTAAAAGTTAATTCCAACTGAATTTGGATCAGAAAGGAAAACTTGAAAGGAATGCCATGATCCCTAAGGCACTCAGTTAAATCCACCAGGTGCTCAGGAGGAGAAAAAAATGACATGATTTTCTGAGACTGAACAGTTTAAACAGTTTTGTAGGAGAATTATTTTTATCCCCTCCATTAGTGATTATTCTAGCTGTTCTGAAATAAATATTTGCTATGCTGGGGAGGAACTGAATATAAAATCTAGTGTAGCATTCTTAAAAAGAGGGACAATTCAAGTATTATTAAAAGATCTATTAGATTTTTTGTGTTGCCATAGATCCAAGGTTCTAAAGTTATTTTGTGAAAAACATTTTAAAGGGTAATTATATAATTGAGATATGGGTAACTGTATAATTGAGATATATATCTCTCTCTGTATATCTCTTGGTATTTGTGTGTTTATGTGTGTGTGATCCTGACACTACCTCAAACAAGTTAGATCCTCAGTGGAACAAATTTTTCTACCAAAAAATGAAAAGAATGTGTTTGGCAAAGCACAAGAAGAAACAATTATCAGAAATATCTGGAGAAGCAGCAAATAACACATAGTGGCAAGGTTGTAGAGAGACTGGAACTCTTATTTTCTGTTGGTGGGAGTGTAAAATGATGCAACCTCTGTGGAAGGTGGTACGGTGCTTTCTCAAAAAGTTGGAAATAGAGATAACATTTGACCCAGCAATTCCACTGGGCTCACTGAGACTTCCCAAAAGAAACCTGAGCTACCACCCAAATAGATACATGCCCATCCATGTTTACTGCTGTGTTATTCATAATAGCAAAGAGACAGAAGCAACCAGGTGCTCATCAATAAGAGAACGGACATTAAAATGATGGTATATTCACACAATGGAATACTTCACAGCAATGAAAAACAAGGAACCTGTAAAACATGGGTAACCCTGGAGGATATCATGCTGAGTGAAATTTCTCAGTCACTAATAAGATATCTCAGTCACAAAAGGACAAATATTGCATAACGTCACTGTTATAAAACAGGACTGACATGGGGGGTGTTGGAGAAAAACTAGAAAAAGTGAAGACAGAAAATGAAAACTGCATCAGAACAGATAAAGGAAAGAACTGTTTAAAAGGAATATATAATTAGGCATTATTTGTATGGCAAGAGTCCACAATAATAGGTGCATTGCAAAGTGGACTGAGGCAGGGGAGAGAGGGAGGGAGGAAATTGTGCAACAATGAATGAAAAATTTTTAAAAAGTGAACTGGGGAAGGGGGAGGGAGGAAAATGTACAACAATGAATGAATGAAAATTCAACTTTTCTGTAAACTTTTGTTAAAATCACAATAAAAATGAAATCTAGAGGCATTCAGACAGGACAAGAGAGAGTAATGCCACACCAGTTCTTCCTCTGCGGCCTGATGACTTCTTGGTGACATCTAGTGCACTGATCTCAAGCAGGTCATCAGCTCTCCACAGCTGGGGCAGGCCGTTAAGGTGCCACAAGGTTCACTCACCTGATCTGCATGCCTTTACTCCAGGAGCACATGTCCTTGCGTAGAAGGAGGTTGTTCAGCGTGACGGCCCCCACGATGTAGAACATCTGCTTGACCACCTGCTTGATCAGTTCTGGGTCCATGCCGTGCTGGCACATGACCGAGTGGAAGGAGTTGAGCTGCTGGAGGATGGAGTCCAGGGTGTAGGCGCCCTCATCAGCAATACTGGAGGTCCGCTTTCTCAGCCCTGTGGGCTTCACACCAGACATGCCCTGGATGGTTTCATGTTCCAACATGCCTGAGACTGTGAGAGTTTTCAATTGTTAAAACAGAAGATTTAGAAAAACTTTGTTTTCATGTGTTCACACATGCACCCATAAATACACATTCAATTTAGGAAAAGGATCTGGGCACCACGGTAGAGGGAAGAGGAGAATCACAGAAAGTGGGCCCTGGATTTTAAACTTCACTGAGGGGCCAGTTCTTACTTATAAAAATAACCATCAAATTAAAAGTGTTAATGGTGTAGTTTCTAAAATGGGAAGCAGTAGCTTTTTAATAGCACACTGTGGGTATTTTAGATGGGTGTTTGAGAGAAAAGTGCATGGAAGGTAGGAATAAGCACTCTCCAGTGAGCGAGAATAACACAACCAATGGGGAGAAGAGAGAAGCCTTGGGAAGCAGTGTTGCATTAGAGCTTGAGGGGTGCCTTGTAGGGGACAGGAGAGCTGGGCTCTTGTCCTGGTCTTCTCACCTAACAGTGAGGCCTCAACCTCCCAGGACTCAGTCTTCTCATCTGCGGCAATGCTGTGCTCACCCAGCATTTGGCTGATGTTTCCCTAGAAGGGTGTCAGAATGCTCACACCTGGGAGAGCAGGGGCCAGGCCTGATTCACGGTTGTATCTCCAAGTTCTGAATACAGCTTCTATAGAGCTTCATACTGACCCAAAACATTTGTCCTTGTTGCTGGGTATTATTAAATGACTGGGAGATGGGGGTAGGGATTTCCCATGGGGTATCTTAGAGGTAAAACTCTTATTTAGATAATATAATAATTTTTTGCCTATGAGTAAAAAAGATTGCGTGAAGTTGATCTTGATTACATACATGCTACTGCTGCTTGCATTCTGCTGACCTAGCCTGCTTTAAGTTCATAACATTAAGACAACTAAAAAATAGCATCACTGCCACCCTCCATAACTTTTCCAGCCTTTTATGTTTTTAGTTGGTTAATTATACATAGACCTATGACAGAAAATGAAATACTATGAGCTCAAAGAAAGGAAATAAAAATTGACATGAAAATACACGTGTGGGGAAAGCAAGCATAGCAGGGAAAAAAAGAGTAATTAGGATTACTCTTGGAGAAGGACATCATGCTCAGAAGGGTAACCCGATAGTGCAGGAGAGGGAGACCCCAGATCAGATGGATTGATACAGTAACTGGGGCGATGGGGGTTGGTGTGTCAGAATTAGTGAGACTGGCTCAGGACAGGGAAGGGTTCAGAGTGGCTATACATAGGGTCGCTGTACATTGCAGGCAACTCAACCAATAACATTCTACATCAGGTTTGAAACCAGGAGTGGCATCCACTTCCTAACTTGCCTCCAGAAACTCTATGAATTTTGATAAATGTTGATAGTTGTAGAGGGGCTTCAGGCCTTTGGTTTATAAGGTCACTATGAGTTGTGCTCAACTTAAAGGCAATCAACAACAACTGGGATTAAGAATTGGCCGGTAACTTGCCTAAAGAAAATAATTTGGTAACTTTAATATATACATATATTCAATGCATTAAAAATTAACAGTATGCATTAGGTGTGTGCCACCTGATTCCTACTTTGTAACATGTTACTTCCTTTAATGGTCTAAAGGAACAGAGCACAATATAGAAATTAATCTCCAGAGTGGCACACTTGCAGCATGCATGGACTCATAGCTGCATACACAGACATCCACCTCCACACCCCAGACCCTCAGCAGCTGCCCTGACACTAAGGCATTGCTACTTTAAACCAACACAGGGGCTGCAATAATGGCTCAAGTACAGCAACTCTGACACCTGGGATCTAACAGTGTTTGTTCTGCTGCTATGACTTGGAGCTAACTTGACAGTATCTAAAAACAACTTCAAACCAAACTGCCTTCAGCAATTCCACAAGGCTTGTGAAGTGTTTAACTCAGCCTGGAGTCTCTTCTCCACAGAAGAAAGGTCTGGAGATCTCTTTCAGTAAAGACTATAGTCAAGAAAGCCTGATGGAACTCTTCTACTCTATCATATGGTCATCACGAGTCAAAGCAGATTCAACATGTTCGGGGTTTTACTTTGTTTTGTTCAGCTCTGGGTTCATTCTAGGGCAACGTGCACACATTCCCAACCTTCTTAGAATCCTATGTTGTAATGTCCTCTCATACCAAAGTTTAAAACGTTTTTGAAAACTCAGTAAAGTATGAGACCTCCTGCTGAGGATAAAGCATATTACTCAGTATTTAGGGAGGACAATGAGATCCTGCCATTTTGAACACTCAGAAGCAGAGATCTTTGATGTAAGCCCAGTTGGTCATGGCTAGCTTTTTGGGATTTCTCGTCTAAATTTAGGGCCAACTTTCCACATCAGCTCCTTCACTACTTGATGTCATCCTACATAAACACATGCACCACTGAGCTCATTTACTGGTGGGAAGCTGTGGTGGACAGACTGCTGTGTTCCACAGAGCTGGGGCTTACCAATCATTGGCTGGAGGATGTTCTCTAACACCCGCACGAGCTGCTGGTAGATCTGAATGGCCAAGTCACTCAGCACTTGCCGATACTCTGCCAGGTCAAAATTGGTGAGACAGTGCTCATTCTGGCGAGATGTGTTGTGTTTCATAAAGCCCTAGAGTCAGAAAGAAAAGGTAGTGATATACATGGATGATATGTCTCTTCTGTTTTTGTAACAATCTCCAGGTTGATCAACATCTTTATGCTCTTTTTAGCTTTATCCTGATGAGGCTTTCTTCCCATCTGTCCTTCCTATTACCTCCCTAAGCACAGCACTGGATTACTGTAGTCACTACTAGTAAAATGTTCTTACCTTTTGTTACCCCAGTGTCTACCCACCCCACACATAAATTCCAGGATAATAATTCTCAAATGCTGGTGTATGTTTATGTATCTCCATCATGTTCCCCTTCCACATCCTATGATCTTTTAGGATAATAGTTAATTTGCCAATCTAGCACTTAAGACTTTCTGACAGCAATGCCAACGAAACAATTTGGAAGAACTGAACTAAAACAAAAGAACAAACCAACTAAAAAAATTACTAAATGTTTTTACTTCTAAAATAGCTGACTTACTTTCACACACTGTATTATCTAAAGTCCTATTCTTTAATGTCAATTATGAAATACCATTTTATTCAAAATACTATATACCAAGGACATACTCTCAAAATAGGCTGATTTCTACAGAGATTGATGAATAAATAAAAAGTTTCCTGTCACTGTATTTAATAATTTTCAGTCAGGGCCTGAACAGAATATTTGAATTAGTTGTTAAATTGAAAGCACTTTTTTTCAATCACTTTACATTTTAACCCTCTGCTGTCTTAACATTGCTTGATAAAAAGCTTACTTAATGGATTCTGTCCATGGTCAAGCATCTACCTCCCTCCAACCTACTTCATGACATGACCTAAAAGTGGGGTCCTATCATGCATCATTAATGATCCTATAGGAACTCTAATTCATTAGTCTGTCTTATCAGGGAGCACATCTTGGCAGTCTCTCTGTTTCCCATCATTTACCAACACAGTTCTGTCTGCCCACTGGATGCTCTAAAAGTATTACTGATCAGTTCCCTGTCTTGCCCTCACTGAAAAGTCTGGGGAAGGATGGAGGACAGTGGTTAGAGACACAGACTATCAGAGGTGGACACACTCAGAATCCCAGCTCTGCTCTTTGGCTGAGTGGAATTGGGCAAATTGATGAACCTCACTGAACTTCAGGTTCCTCCTTTGTAAAAGTGGGCTATAATTCCTACTTCACTGACTTATTATAATAATTAAATAACATAACATATATTAAACACACTCTTGCACATGCTTGGCTCTAGATAAAAATTATTAATATTTTTTAAAAAATTATTAATATTTTACATCATTTTTAGAACATTCTGAAATCTATCAAACAACTGATAAACATATCATTACAAACAAAATCAGTAAAGATGTTTGGACAAATCAGGACCCAGAAAGAGTCTTATCTTAACTTTCACCACCTTTACCATATTTAGGCAGGCCTACTACGTTGGTTAATTTCTTTAAGTAGTTCAATATTTTAAAATTAGTTTGTAAAGCTTCACCTCTACATACTGACAAAAAGTTCTATTTCTGGTAACTGTTCATTGACAAATATCATCTTGTCTTTCTGGTGCTTTCACGTATTACAAACTTCCAGAGTGACGAAAGTATTTTGCTTTATAACACTGTTACACGGATAGGAAGATCCAGTAGAGCTGTGAATGTTCAAGTCATCTCAGAATGACATGGTAAGCATCACATGATATAAAAATTGCCCTAAAAAAGGTTTGAAAAAGCATAACATACTGATTGTGAAAGGAAGGTTTTCTCACCTCTTCTCCACTGTACTGCTTCAAACAGTGCAAAAACCGGCACGTGTTGGAAAGCCAGAAGGAGACAGTTTCAAAATCATCACCTCTTTTCTGAAACAGAATATATCTAAATTTACTTTTTCTTTAGAGAAATAACCTGAAAGAACAAATATTAGAAAATGGATTTCTTTCAGCTGCCATTATTAGCAATCACAAAAAGAAGTCACACTGCAGTTGTAAAGTCATAGATCACTGCGAAAAGAATTCCAATCACTGGGGTCACTGGTTCTTTGCTACTTTGCTTGGCAACAATTTTCTTGCCATTAAGAAAAGTAACTCAGAAAAAGTTCACTAAGACATGGCTCACTCAAACTCACTTCCCTAGGGGTTAGTGACAGGAATACAAAAAGACTAAAAACAAAAACAGAATCAAGAATACAGTAATAAAGAATATTAAAAAGTCAATCACTTAAGCTCGCATTAGGTTAAATCTTACCATCAAATGACAAATATTCTAAACAGTGACTCAGAAATAGGATAAAGAAAGTTCTCTTCAGACAGGGAAGGCAAACCAGAGCTGAGCCGAAGGGGTTGACAGAAGACAAAAACAGGAAGTGCCTTTTGGTCCAAGGTGGCAAACACACTGAAACATGATTTGTGAATGAGACAATCATTAACAGGCTTAGAGGTGTAAATTTATTGAAATGTCAATATTTTTCTATTCCTTGGTTCAGAAGAATATACAAGAGGAAACCTAAAGTACTCCACCTGCTTAGATTCTGTGGTCATGGCTTTTACCCAGTCAAAGTGCACTGTTGTTGTTACGTGCCCTTGAGGTGACTATAGCATATTGGGACCCTATGAACAATAAATGGATCTGAATCCTGTCCTGCCCTGCCCTGTGCCATCCTCACCATCTCTGATACACCTGAGCCCACTGTTAATAGTCATTGTGCCAATCCAACTTTCAAATGGATAGCAAGTCACTGAAAAGAATGAAAAGATCAGGTGTACTTTAATCATTAGCATATTGGAGAGGTTCTTAACTGTAGGTTTTCCCAAAGCAACAGGTCTTTATATTTCTCAACTGTTGGTAAAATGGGTGTTGACTATGGATACAAGTAAAATGAAATCAACTTCAACCTTTTCTCTCATGATGTTATCTATTGGTCCAGTGGGGAAGATTTTTGTTTTCCTGATGTTGAGATGTGATCTATATTAAAGGTTACAGTCTTGATATTTTACAGCAGTGTTTGAAGTCCTCTTCACTCCTAGCATCTACATAATTCAGCTTGTTGATGAGTTTCCCTTTGATCTTGATGTCACATTCTTCTTCATACAGTCTACCTTCTCCAGTGATTTGCACAGCAAATAGACTGAATAGGTATGGGGGAAGGATACAGCCTCAATGCACACTTTTCTTGATTTTAAACCATGCAGTGTTCCCTTACTCTGTTTGGACAGTCTCTGGGTCTAGGTATAGGTTTCACAAGAGCACAACTAAAAGCTCTGGGATGCCCATTCTTTTCAATGTATTGTGGTCTACATCGTCAAATGTCTTTGCATAGTCAATAATGCACAGATAAAACATCCTTCTGGCATTCTCCACTTTTAGCCATGATCTATCTGACATTAGCAATGACATCTCTTGTGCCATGGTATCTTCTAGATCTAGCTTTGATTTCTGGTAGTTCTGTGTCAGTTCAGAATTCTGTGTACTGTTCTAGCCATTTTTAAAAGTAATCTTCAACAAATTTTTGCTTGCATATTTTCCATATTCTATTGGATCACCTTTTTTGGAAATGGGAGTAAATAAGAATCTCTTCCAGTCGGCTAGCTAGGTAGCTGTCATCCAGATATCTTGATGAGCATGTCCAGGGCTAAATCTGTTGGAATTTGTCAATTGGTATTCCATCAATTCCTTGGGCCTTATTTTTTGCCAATACCTTCAATATTGCTTGAGCTTCTTCCTTCACTACCATTGATTCTTGATCATATGCTACTTCTTAAAATGATTCTGTGTCAGCCAATTCTTTTTGGTACAATGACTCTGTATATTCCTTCTAACTTCTTTTGATGCTTCCTGGATCATTCAGGAGTTTGCCCATAACATCCTTTAGTATTGTAACTCAAAGCCTGAATTTTTCAATTCTATCAGCTTGAGAAATGACAAGCAAGTTAATCCCTTTTTCTTTTCTAACTCCAGCTCTACGTACATTTCATGATGATATTTTGCTTTGTCTTTTCCAGATGATCTTTGAATCTCTCTTTAACTTTGCCATTTATTCTCTTTGCTGTGGCTTCTTAAAACTCTAGTGCAATTTTCACAGTAGCAAAGAGTTGGAAACAACCTCGTGACCATCAACAAATGAATGGATAGAGAAGCTCTGGTATATTCACACAATGGAATACTATGCTGCATTGAAAAACAAGGAACTCACGCAATATTATTCAAAATGGGTGACCCTGGAGGACATTATGCTGAGTGAAATATCTAAATCACAAAAGGACAAATACTGTATGGTCCCACTGTTGTAGAATGAGGCTGACATCAAGGTGGGGTAAGACAGAAAAACTGGGTAAATTATGTATCCTGCATCAAAGCCGATGAGGGAGAGAACAGTTTAAAAGTAATATATTTTAGGGCATTATCATTATCTTTCTTTTTTTCACATCTCCAACAGATTTATTTTTTTAAAGGAATGAATTGCGAGGAAAGAAAAAACATGAGGCAGAGAAAAGTATGGGATAGAAAATAAATACAAATGTAAGCTGATTTGCTAATTGCTTTATAACCACAACAAACTGGTACAGAGGAAGGTCCTGTACAAAACACAACAAAGGTTCAAAGATAGAGGCGTTCTCTTAGCAAGGCTGAAGAGTTCAGTCTCTGGTATTTGGAATTTAGGCTGCAGTCCTTGTTTTTGGATGGATCACTGGGTGTGTGGGCACAGTCCATGCTTTAATCAGATTTGAACAGAAGAATGGCAACTTGGCCCAGGTAGAAGTAGATGAAGTGCTTAGTTTCATGTGTCACATAACTACAGAAGTTTCTCCATACGATGCAGTGCCAGGTGGGGTTGTACTTCTTGTCAAACTCCTTCTTGATGTGGGCCGTGATGTCCTTCTCGATGTTGTATTTCTCCAGCGCCTGGGTCGCGCACTCCTCCGACATGTCCACATTTTTGATCACTGCCTTTCGGTCGCACATGGTTGGTTACCCACTTTTCTGAAAGCGAGAGCCAAGCGGACTGCACGGCGGGAGAAGTCCGGCCCGGAGAGAAATGAAGGCAGCGGGGTCCCCGCCCGCCCGGAGTCCTCGAGACTCCTGTAAATTTTTTTTGACATTTCAT